GGAAAAATGTGGAAAACGGTGAAATGTCAGGATTTTTAGGACAATAAAAACACGGTAAGATACAGTAATTATGGATATGTCAGTGCACACTGCCCAAACTCATAGACTATACAATACTAATAGTGAGCCCCAGTGAAATCTGTGGACGTTGGTGATCACAATGCACCCAGATCAGTCCATCAGTTTGGACCAATACCCCACTGTGGGAGGAAGGTGGATAATGGCCGAGGCCCTGACCATGTGGGGCAGGGGATATATAGAAAGTCTCTGCCTTCCTCTCTGAAAACCTGACACTGCTCAGAAAATAAAAAACAGGCTTTTAAAAAACCAGAGCAAAACCAAGGCACAAAGAGACCAGGTCATTCCCATGACCATGCCCCTGTGATGGCAGGATCAGGGTGAAGGGCCAGACCTCCCTAACCCCACTTTCTAGAATCAAAAATCTTTTGTATTCAAGGTCAACTGGCCCAACTCCCTCACCTCACAGGAGRAAGACTGAGGCTCAGAGAGAGCGAGTGATTTGCCTAAAGTCCTTTTGCAGGTGAGTCGTGTCACAGGATTGAGGATGGTTCAGGAGTCATAGGTCTGGAGTGGGGGGAGAGGCCCCAATCCCCTCTTGTCCTCTGCTGGTCCTCCTAGGCCTCCATCTCCACTCCTGGCCCTGCCTCCAACCTGGGCCTTAGTGCCCCCGCGGACTTCGSTCAGCACTCTGGCCTCTCATTTCCTGGGTCCTATTTCCAGGGACCTGCACCTCCACTCCACTTTAGCTTCGGGCATGCAGCCAAGGCCTGGACTCTGTGTCCTACACAGCATCAGTCCCCACTTTCCTCTTCCAGGTCTAACCATCCCACCCTGCAGCCTCACTCCCTAATCCATCGTCTTCCAGAGCCTTCCAGAGCTCCACTTCCTCCAGGCCTACAGGCTACCTGCCTGCTCATCCCATCTCATCCTGGACCTCATGGACCACCTTCTCGGCAGCACCCTTAACTCTTCATYAGCACCCCCATCTTCGTCTTCCACCCGGTGGAGCCCTGGCGCTGGAACAAGAACTCTGTCTGCCTTCTCCATTCTGCTCCATGACCTGCTAAAGGTCATCAGACCACCAAGGAGACTGGCCACTCTAAGCTCAAGGACTTCTACACAAAAGGGGGGTCATTTCCCACCCTGAACGCCTGACTGAGCCAACTGCACAGGGGAGTAATTCTCAATGCTGGCTGCAGGTTGAAATCACCCTAGGGCTTGAGCAGGTACTAATGCCGCTGCTCTGGGAGGTGGCTTGGGATCGGGAATGTAAAAGCCCCCCAAAGATGCTCTGTCCAAACAGGGAGTATTGCTCAGCAGTAGAGAGAAGCCAACGACTGACACATGCCACAATGTGGACGAACCCCCAAAACATTGTGCGATGTTATATAGCAAAGACACATGCTGTATAATCTCATTTACATGAAATTTCTAGAGAAGGCAAAGCTATAAAAGCAGGCTACAGGGTGGAACTGACAACAAATGAGCACAAGGGAGCTTTGGGAGTGACGGGAGTGTTCTAGAACTTGACTGTGGTGATAATTGCATAACCATGTCAGTGTATTTACACTAATTGAACTGTATGCTAAGAATGTACAGACTCTGTGTTATGTAGATTGTACCTCAAAAGTTGTTGAAAGTGAAAAAAGAAAAAGAAAAAGAAAGTCTGACTAAGGGAATTTAAATTTTGTCTTGGATTTTAAAATAAGAAATCAGAACCAAAATTCCATTGGTGAGTCCAGTGGGCAACCAGAGTTGAGAACCTGGCAGGAAGTGTAACACCTCCGTTCAGCGGTGGCCCTCCAAAGCTGAGGTCTGATGCACCCAAGTGTCAGCAAGGTGAGTACTTTGACTGAGGTCACACAGCCATCCTGGGTGAAATAGAGCCCAGAGATCAGTGCATCTGATCCAAGTGCAGAGCAGCCCTCTGGGGGCTCACAGGAGCAGCTGGTCCCAAAGCCAGGAGACCCTCAGACCTTCCTGGCTTCCACAGATCTAATGCCACAGCTCTATGGGATGAAGGTCCCCCTCTCTGCTGCCTTACCCCTCCAACTTCAGGATTGCTCTGACATTCCCTCCAGCGCACCCATCCGGAAAAAAAGTGTCTGACACTGTTGATCGACCAGTTTCATAAAAGGAGTCCAGTTTCCTTTGCACTCATGAAAAGCTGTTAGCCCTGGCGAGCTTCCAGAGGCTGTATATCAGTAATGCAGCCCAGACATGGGCAGAGGGATGCCAAAGCCCTTGGGCACAGAGAGGAGTCATCTGGGCTGATGGATTTAAATCAAGAAGGGTTCTTGCCAAGACTACCACCAAGCAACATCTCGTCCTGGGAAAAGAGACTTCCCTGGAGATGCACTGATACCCCTTGGAGAGGGGTTATATGGGACGGAGACATGGCATCTACCTGTCAAGACCAGATCCCAGGGAGGACAGTGTAGTCGAGAACAAACAGACCTACATCTGGAGGGCCAGGCCTTCSGTCTGGCTGGCTTCTTTGCCAGCATGTGCCCTGGGGTGAAAAGCCACCTACCTTCTGTAAGCCTCCGTTTCCTCATCTGCAAAGTGGGAACTATCACGGCTTCCTAGAGGGCAGCCAGCTATCAGAGCATCTGAGACTCTATGAAGCACTCAACCAACATGAGGGCTGACCACATTTCCTCTGCAGTCCAGGCCTGGTGGGAATTTCAAACCTCTGAGGCTACGTGTGATTCCCGGAAGTTATCAATGGACACGAAGASTGACAGAAAATCCCAAGTAGGTTTCAGGAGCCTGGAAGTCAGTCCTGACTTTGTGTGAACAATCTTTCAAGACTCAGAGGTGCTCTGAAACTTTGCACTGTGTCCCTTCCCCTCTCATGGTGATCAGTTTCCCCTTCTACACAACGAGGAGACTGGGGGAGGTATCTCTAAGGGCCCTTCAGACTCTAGCAGCCAATGATGCTATTGGAAAGAAGGAAGTACCCCCAGGTCCCTGCAGGGTCTGGTTTTTATGAGGCCAGGGGGCCGACCTTTCCCCTCTACCATGATTGGCCTCTCTCAGTCTCATTTTGGGACATTCGCTGCTGCTCTACAGAGGGCAGTCTGCCAGCAAAAGCCTCTTCGGTGTTTGGCAATGAGTTGTTCCCACCGGAGGCCAAGTTCCTTTTGGGCTTCCTCCTAGGGGATGAGAGGCAGAGAGGTGGAAGAGAGGGCAACACTGACCTGGGAAAAACCTGTCTTGTTTGCATCCCCAGGGACAACTGGGGCCAGCACTTTTCCTTTCCAAGCACCTCCCAAAATATCCTTTATTTATTTATTTATTTATTTTGGTGCATGAATTTTAKAGTTTACAAAGCTCTTTCAAATTTATTACAGATTGGATCTTAGTAAAAACCCTGTAGGGAGGCATGCAAAGGGTTACTAGCTTTATATGGCTTCCAGGGGAGGAAGCCATGGCTCAGAGAAGGAAGCTTCTCCCAGGTCTCACGGGGACAACATCAAAAGGCTTCTCCTCTGCATAGAGACAGGGCAAGAGCCTCTGAAAGGTGAGTGCTCAGCTGGATTCCCAGCCTTGCTCTGCTCCATCTTGGTGGCCCCCTCACCTGGAACTTCCTCCTTCCCAGRCTGGCAGCAGGGTGTGTGGCCTTCCTCACTCTCCCTTGGAGTTTTGCCTGGAAATCTGAATAATACACCACAGTTTGTTTCCCCTGGGCTGCCACACATGCACACCTGGGATGTCTTGGTGTGGTGGAGGCTCCAAGTATCAAGAGTACATAAGGGGCCAGGTGTGGTGGCACATGCCTGTAATCCCAGCAGCTCGGGAGGCTGGGGCAGGAGGATTGAGAGTTCAAAGCCAGCCTCAGCAACTCAGTGAGGYCCTAAGCCACTCAGCAAGACYCTGTCTCCAAATAAAATATAAAAAAGGGCTGGGGATGTGACCCAGTGGTAAAGTACCTCTGGTACCAAAGGGGGAAAAAATGTGGGAAGAGAAAGGAGGAGATATAAAGCAAATGGAGGAGGAAAAAAGGACCAAAGACCACTTTTCACCGACACCAAGGGGGATAACTTTTAACTATTCACTACAATCCACTGTTAATAAGGTGGTGTGGGAACAGGGAATCGTCAAGAGCCATCAGTGACACTAGAAACTGGAACAGGTCTGTTGGATGTGGGTCCCTCTCAAAATTTTAAATGGCCCCATATTTCCACTCCTAGAAATCTATTGCCACGGTGCACGCCTATGCATGAAGGTGTTGGTCGTGTTACCAGAAGGCTGTAAACATCCCTGGGGTCGGGTTCAATAAGTCACACTATACATCCATTGACTGAACACCCTGGGTCATTAAACACGAGATCAATCGGATCTCTAAAATGTGTTGCAAAGAAAGTAAAAAAAGCAAAATATATTTGGTATGAAGTCATTTAGGTTCAAACAGATATAGTGAAAAAATTCTAGGCAGATTAGCACCAAACTGAAAATGGGGGGGGGTACCTGGGAGGAGGGGGGGACAGGGCCGTTGGAGAAAACAACACTAACACCATATGTATTTTTGCATTGTTGTACGAAATAAAACAAAGCACCATGTATTTATGCATGTTTGTAAAACATTTTTAAAAACAAAAAGAACCCACAAAGCACAATCCAAGATGACCTAGGAGTCTTGGTTCCAAGCCAATTTCTCCCCCAAACTCTGCTCACAGGAGCAAACCTATTGGTGGCCCGTTTGCTTTCAGATGGTCACTCTATCGTCAGTCAGCAGGAYGAGGCCACAGGGCCTTTTAGGAGTAAGGGGAAGAGTGACGGGGGGGTCTCACTCCCCTCTAGGGCCATGGCTGAGGGTCCCACGGGCCCAGGTGCACATCCCTCAGCTACCAGCTCTTTTGTCAGAGGCCAAGCAGCCTCCGAGGTGCTGGTGAAATCTAGCAGAGCAGCCGGGGGGCTGCCACTCATGCAGCCCAGGGTGAGCCCAGGCCCCGGGGCGCAGATGCTGGGCCTACCTCGGAGAACCTCTGCACGTCCTGCGTGAGCGTGCCCACACGCTTCCAGTGGTAGTGCTTCAGCAGCTTCAGGATGGCCGGGTTCACCGCGTTGTCYGACGGCACCGTCCGGAAGAAGTAAGGGTATTTTTTCTTATCAGCTAGGACTGGCGTGGTGGCAGCAAAGGAAAGCTGAAAAAACAAAACAAAAAAACAAAAAAGAGACAATGCTTTTTACTAGGAGCTCAGCAGCCCTCCATCCTGTCTTGGGACAGAAATGCATGGTGCAAGGTATTTTTTTTTAAGGTTTTTGATTGTTAAGAGTAATACATCCAAATGGAAGAGATGGTTAAAAGGTGCAAAACAAGAGAAAGAAGGACAAAAACAAACAAACAAACWAAAAGCCAGGCATCTACCAAGGATCCACCATTAATGTGGGGTCTGTTTCTTTCTCATCTTTATGCACAGTGATTGGACTTTTTTCAAAAGTTTCTTGAGATCRCTCTACATACACAGTGCAACTGTTTTTCCCCTAGTTAACATTGCTCTACAAACACTTAGTCATTCTGTTAAAAAACTCCCTGTAAACATTTTAATAGCTGCATAATATTCCAGCATATGAACATATCACAATTTACTGAGTCGTCTCTAGTTTGGGGACATTGTTTGTAATTTGTCCTATTATTCTGCAGGCATCTTTGTGCATAGCATCTTCCCCTATAGTTCAGGATTATTCTGTAGGACAGAGTCTGGTATGTAAAATTGCCCAGATAAAGAGAGGAAATGAAACCCGGCCCRGTGGTGCAAACCTGTAATCCCAGCTGCTTGGGAGGCTGAGGCAGAGGTTCAAAGGCCCTRAGCAACTCAGTGAGAYCCTRTCWCAAAATAAAATATAAAAAAGGACTGGAGATGTGGCTCAGTGGTTAAGCACCCTATGTTCAATCCCTGGTACCAAAGGTAGGGGAGAAAAAAGATAGGAAATGAACCTTTAGACTGTACTTATTTCCCCAAAGAATTTTACCAATCTGCATATCTGCTGGTCAGGTATAATTAGAGGGCCGATTTCACCACATTCTTGTCAACAGGGAATAGAACATTTTTCTATCTAATTTTATAATGAATTATCACTTTAAAAACCTGAATCATTGTGTTCACAGTTCCTCGTGACGTTGAGCCTTTTCCATGTGGTTCTTAACAAGGAGCGTGTCCTAGTTAAGGAACTTCTTTTTCGTGTCCTTTACTTTTTGAGGTTCTTGTAATGCTTTTCTAATTGAATTTAATTAAGACTTYTTATATGTACGGGATCCAGGTCGGGCTGTGAGAGCTGTGGCAAAGACCTCTGTCTGCCTCTGCGTGTTGGGTGTGGGTATTTTAATTTACACTCAGTAGTCAAATCTGTCCGTCTTCCCCTTTATTGTTTCTTCTTTAAGTGTCAGTAAGTTGTTAAGTTGCGATTTTAATGATCTGTCCAGCTTAAATGTCACCACTCCTCTGACACTTCCTCTGATCTCCTCGGCTCTCCTTTCCCTGGGCCTCTCCCACAGAAGGTGGTTATCAGCCTTTTTGATCTCTGCAGGGTGATGGGGAGCAATGGCATCTTCTAGTTCTAATTTGCATTTATCTCATTGTGAGTGAGGCTGAGTCTCTCATCCTATGTTTAGCAGCAATTTTTAATTCCTTTCTGGAAACTGTTCCCATCCTTTGTCCATTTTCCAGTTTGACTTTTAGTCTTCCCCTCTGTTTGTAGAAAAGTGATCTTCTATATTAAAGAAATTAGCACTTTACCATATAAGTTGTTTATTGTTTTGGTCCAGTTTGTACTTCATCTTTTGATATTGCTTATAGTCTGATTTTTCATGCAAAAGTGTTTTTGTTTGTTTGTTTGTTTTTTGGTWCCAGGGATTGGACCCAGGAGTGCTTACCACTGAGCTGCATCCCCAGCCCTTTTCTGTATTTTATTTAGAGACAGGGTCTCACCGAGTTGCTTAGGACGTTGCTAAGTTGCTGAGATTGGCTTTGAACTCACGATCCTCCTGCCTCTGCCTCCCGAGCTGCTAAGCACTTTTTGTGCCCAGCTAAAAGTGTTGTTGTTGTTGTTGTTTAAGTGGGTGAATTTATCACTTTTTTCTCTTAATGTCTTCAGATTTTGTGTCATATTTAGAAAGGCCTTCTCTACTCTGAGATTATGAAAGAATTGCTCATGGTTTCTTCTAATCTGTTCTTTCTCCCTCCCTCCCTCTCTCCTCCCCTCYCTTCTCTCCTTTCTTTGGCATCATTAAATCTTTGATCCAGAGAGGGCAAGCTGCAGCAAGCTCAGTCTGCACTGTCACCAGTGTCCTCCTGCACCCTTGCTTGTCTCAGCAGCAGCTCTCAACTCTATACATCCCAGAGTCTAGTTTCCGCATCTAGGGAAACAACATCCTGAACACTTCTGTCCCAGAGAAAGGTCCTTCACTGGCACTTTCTCCTTGGGCTCCAGGAGGGCAAGCTATCGAGATCCATCCTTTTCCCTGGTCTGATCAGAGTGCAGTCAGCCACTCCCTCAGATCCCTGGAGGTCCTGTGTCCACTCTGCAAGCCCCTGCAGATCCAATCTGTTGCAGCTGACCGTGCAACGCCCGTCAGCCATTGCCTGAAGCTAGGGAGTGCCWCGAGAAATCGATTTCTAAGATCCCCACAGAGACAGGGACACCTCACAATTGGTAAGAGTCAAGGGCAGAATGACTGTTGAAAAGATTCTGGGTAGAATAAGGACCAATGGGGAGAAGAGAGTAATCATCCAGCGGGGTGCATGGAGGAGCCCCCACATTCAGAGTTGTCCAGCAATGGAAACCCTGCCAATCGAAGTAGTGACATCCCTGTGCCTGGAGGTGTGGACAGGGAGTCTGTGCCATAACCTCGTGAGAACAGAAGGGTCCCACAATGTCTTTGGACCCTCCAAAAACTGTAGGAAAAAGTTTGTGTGTCTATGTGMATACAAATATAAACATTTTTTTTTCCTGAAAAAAAGATTTCATGGCTTTAACAGATTCACAAAGAGGATCCCATAATCCAAACAAAATCCACGACACCYGCCTTCGGGTGAGATTTAGGTCCTGTGGAGAGTGCCAGAAAGAACAGCTCTGTACAGTCCTCTCTAACCTATTATCCATGATTCCTTTCTCAAGATTAAAACCACCCTGCAAGTTTCCTCTGCTCACCAGGGTAAGGGGGCAGCTATCTGAAAAAAAATCCGGGAGCAACACTTTTTAGGACCTGGGATATTATGCATGCCATCGCAGCCCCCAAAATGCTTATCTAATACAATTTGGAAAATATTGGTTTTCTGATGTGATTTCTGAATCACACTCTGGTTGATACTTTACCGTTATTGTCCCATTAGTTCCAGGTCCACAATTAATTGTTGCTCCAACAACCTCATATGTTTGCCCTGTAGGTAATTACGGTGGTTACTGTTCAGTGAATAAATGGTCCATTGTGTTTACCATAGGCTTGGAGTACAATATATGCCCCAGGTCTAAATCATGTTGGGTGCAAAATATTAACTGGCGCCGACATTTTCTGCACCATTTGAGATAATGCACATTTTGATTGAATTGCTGTGCGTGTCTCTCTTTCTCTGGCTTTAGCCTCTTGAAACTTTCTTCCATGGGCAGGCTCAGGTGCCTACTAGTATTGCTGAACTTCAGAACTGGGGGGAATCTAAGAAATCACCTGGTTTGGGGGTTCTCTATCCTGGCTGCACATTGGAATCACTTGGGGAGATTTTTAAAAATCTGATAACTTGATCCCACTCCAAATCAACTAAGTCAGAATTCCTGGACCTACAGCCCAAATAGTGGTATTTTAAAAAAAATCTTTCCAGGTGAGTTTGATGCCAAGGGAGGGTTGAGAACCCCCAGTGCAGATCAATACCAAATTACTGAGATTTTCTTTCTGTGCTTTTATACAGTAAACTCTTGTAAAAGTTCCATGGTGTCGGGAAGAAAATAGTTATGAATAAGCAGACTGAAGCTGAAAGATGGGGTGATATTGAGTTATCCACCATAACCAATAAGAGGTGGAAGCAGGACTTGAACTCAGGACTAAAGGACTCCTAACATCCGTGCTCTTCCCTGCCCGATGGCTGTCCACTGCATCCTGTGTGGTCCCCAGACCTTCCTCCTCCAGCATCCGCAACACCAGGGCCACCAGCATCAGCACCCTAACTTAAAGACCCACACTTCTGGGCTCCCTGCCTTATTTCACACAACCAAATTAGTTTCTGAACAGACTGTGATCAGGGCTCCAGTTAATCCCTAACCAGGGATCTATTTCTGAGAGTATTTTAAATTTTAATTCATGGTTTTTGTTATATCTACTTTTATTGCATTGTTTTGAGAATTTTGGGCCTGTACAGTGTTTGCTTTGGCAAATTATTGAGATTTTCTTTCTGGGCTTTTATACAGTAAACTCTTGTAAAAGTTCCATGGTATTGGGAGGAAAAAAAGATGCAGTCTCTGGTTGTAAGCTATAGAATCCTTTATGAGACTACTTATGCATAATAGATATAATCAAGCTCTAATTATATTTTCATATGCTTCCTATTTTTGCTGACTTGGTCTATCAAAAGCTGAGAGATAGTATTACTAAATTTTTCTCTCTTGCCTCGGATCATTTCCCCGTGTTTTTCAACAGTGTCTGCTTTGATGCTTTGATTTTATGTTGTTTTGAGTGTAAAGGTTCATCATGATTTTTATTTTTCAGCAATGTGTACCTTGTCTAATACAAATAGCAGGTACTTAGTGGATAGTCATTAGGTGAATTGAGGATTAAAACATTTGTCAATGTAAAATAGATATCTGTGTCATTTTATTGCTTTTGGTTTTGTATTATATCTTGCTTGATATTAAGATATGACCCGCTGGGCACGGTGGTGCTCATCTGAAATCCCAGTGACACGAGAGGCTGAGGCAGGAGGATCATAAGTTCAAAGCCAACCTTAGCAACTTAGTAAGGCTCTAAGCAACTTAGCAACACCCTGTCTCAAAAAAAAAAAAAAAAAAAAAAAAAGGGCCAAAGATGTGGCTCAGTGGTTAAATACTCCTGGGTGCAACCCTCAGTACCAAGAAAAAAAAATATGACCCTTTAGTTTGTACTCGCGTTTCTGTCTGTAGCTTTGATCCTCCTTCTATTTGTATTCTGTTAAGATTA